ATGGGCGAGGTGCATTGTGGGTAGTCGGTTGTCAGTTGATTATTTCTGTTTTGGTGAGTTTTCATGTGTTTAGTTGGGGATTTTACTACTAGGGTTGGGTTTTGTGGGATGTTGTAGTTAGTTGTTGGGTGTTATTTTTGGTTGGTGTTAATTTAGCACAGTGAGTAAGGGTTCCATTCCGAGTAATGGGACAGTGGTGCCATTCAGCTGTTTCATAAAGTAGTCAGTGACTTCCTCAGGTGTGACGCTGCGCTACGGCTGAAATTCCACCCCCCACCCCCACCCCCCCAGGAAAACATTGTAATTTCTGGTCTCAGTGTCCTTGCTCTTGCTGGGTGCTAGTTGTTAACATTCTGCTCCACCCATTGCATTGGCATAGCAGTTGTCACAATATGTAATAGTATTGAGTAGAAAGTACTTAACCTTTTTAAGTAATTTAAAGCAACAAAGTCATGTACCAGCTAAGTAACAATGTTATAGAGAAATTACCTAACCATATTGTGTAGTTCTAAAGCAAAGAAGTACCAGCTAAGTAATGCAATTAAGTTACATTTAGCCAAAAACACTCATGTAAATCTAACTCAACAGTGTTTTGTCCATACTAAGTACCGTATTTTCACGACCATAAGGCATACCTAAAAGTCTTAAATTTTCTCCAAAATGTATGCCGCGCCCTATGGTACGGTGCGCCTATTGTGTTGTTGTGAGAAGCGAACATAGTAGAAGACAAGGGGCGTGGCGTGAACGTGCGGACGTGAGCGAAGACAAACCTGTGGATCTGCCACATCGTCATCAACATCCTCGCTATTTGCCTCAGACTCCGGCTGCGAGTCTCCGTCCACTTCCTCTGCTTCCAGTTCAAAAAACAGCCGTACTATCTGAACTGCCTGGTGGACATTTATCCTGCTCATCATCCTTTATTAAAGCCTAATAAAAGCCGACTAAACTGCAGAGACAATATATCTGTCTGGATTGCTCCAAAATACGAAGTTTACCGTCAATATCTGTCTAATTGTTTGTTGTTACTCCGTTCGCGCCACTCCTTACCCTGCAATGCGGCTCCTTTTTGCACCCATCTCGTTACTCGTGCTGCCTTCCTCTCTCTCTCAGCTACATAATGATACTTTTTATCAATTGAATGTGTGAGACTTCCACCAACAACAAAAGGATCTCATGTTTTTGTGGGTTTTTTTATGTTCACAAGCACATTCCGTCTCACGGATTACTAAAATGTTGTTTTGACAAGTTGTCAGACTGTCTAAAAATAGGTCGTTTTTTAGTTTAGTATAATGGGCTCGGCACATGGGAGGCGACATCTACTCTCCTCCATTTTCAATGAGACATGCGCGCTGCCGCACATTGCCTCCCGTGTGTCAGGTAATAAAAGCGACAGCGACAAATTTCGCTGATGGCGGTCGTTTGTCGCCTCCCGTGTGTCGAGCCCACAACTCCGCTTTTACGTTGCCTATTAACAAAATTTAAAAACGGGGTTGTAGTTTATAATCTCCTTTTTAAAGCTGAATTGAAACTGAAACTCAGGGAGACGGAGTCTTGCTGCTACAGCGTCCCAAATCAGACCTGATCTAAAGACGCGGATACGTGTCCATGGACCCCAGAGGGTTAATAAAACACAATTCAAATCACACTATTTTCTTAGGCCTATTAATAACACACATATGGTTTTGTTCATGTGGAAAGTTTATTTGGTTAAATCCAACTACCGGTAAACACATTCTGAACTTCAACACAGCGCTTGAAGCGGCGCTGCGAGCAGCTGCGACCCAAAAAGTACCAGAACCGCTCAAGGCGCATGCGCAAGCATGCATCAACACTGCTCGCCCTCTATTTCCCTAATAACAAACGCTGTTCGTTTTTATTTCTACACGTTTCTTTACTCACAAAGATTGTCAAGAAAGTGTGTTTGTCGTGTTCATGTCAAATTAAACTGATCACAAAACACAGCTTTACTTTCTTTATTTCGTTTTCCTCATCCAACCCCCATAAATCCCTGTGTCATCCTGCAGCACTCCCGGTGTACGCCCGGCTTTAGTAGGAGGGAGACCTGCGATTATCGCTTTGTCGCGCATGTCTCATTGAAAATGAATGGAAGAGAGGCGAAGTTGCCTCCCGTGTGTCGAGCCCATTAGAAGAGTACGAGCCGTCAGCACACGCAATGAGGAAGTGCACGTGCCTCTAAACCAGGTCTGAACCAGGACTAGACCAGTAAAGTGAAGCACGCTTTTGGGTGTTTATAATTTTCACAATGTCTGGTTTGCACTGATATGTTCTGAGTCCCGAGCCAGCACAGATGTTTTACAGGTACGCGCCCGCGCCTTATAACCCGGTGCGCCTTTTGCATCTGTTAAATACCAAAAAGACACTGGTAACTGAAGCTGCGCCCTATAACACGGTGCGCCCTATGGTCGTGAAAATACGGTAACCAAGTTTCTTACCAGTTACTTAAAGCACTTGTGTGGAAACACTTGACATAACATTTTTAAGTAAATCTGAGGTTTATTTTCTTTGAGTGTACAGTAGAAGGCATTAATTCCTACTAGAGACCACTGCAGAAGTATTGATTAAACGAGTGAACCACCCCTTTAAACAAAACTCCAGATCCAAGATCCTTCAAAATTGGCAGGGCAAAAATAAGCTTTTGGAAACAAGTTGATAGTCAAAGTTTATCTTTTAATGTTTTGTTTCTATTTTACTTACTATTACAGGGATCTTTACCTGCATGGCCTTTGCTTCAGGTACAAAAATAAAACATACAAACTCACGGCTTGACTGAAAACAAGTGCGTTACGACCGGCTGCTTCTTTTTTCTTTTACTGCACAAAACTGTACGAAGTTCAGTTTTTACATAAGGGCACAGATTTCCTGGGTATATGCAATTTTTTTTTGTTTAGCAGCTCCTGCAGGCAGCATGTGTTTGTTTTCACCTTAGAGAACAAAGAAGCCAGGAGCAGATGGAATGCTAGTTCCACCATCTTTAAATAAATAATTACATATGCATAAATAGCTTGAGCCAAACAAATATAACTGTGAAAATTATCATGAAAAAACTAAAATGAAGTCAATGTATAAAATCGACACGCAATGCAACCTGCCACAAAGCAAACAGGTGTTTAAAAGTGTTGATTTGAACTTCAAATGGTTCTGATGTCAGTCCAACTAATTAACTGCTGGATATGTTATGTAAAAACGATCTGATTCGTGAAGGAAAAAATATTCGTGAAAAGCAAACCGTTTCTGTTGTAGAAAGGGTTAATGTTAGTATTAGCTATTAGGGCCATTTTAGTTTGGAGAAAAGTAGATTAACACTGACTAGACTGATTAGCTACTGGCCTGAGTGAGACATGTTTAAAACATTTGCAGTGGTCTCTAGAAGGAAAGAATGCCTTGTAGGTCATACTCAAGGGGAGAGCTCAGATGTGCCTGTTTCAGCACAGAGAATTCAGCCAGAGGAGAAAGAAGCTTCAGATGGCAGGATTTGGGGTCTTATTTCCTGATATTTTGGATATCTTGCCTCCAATTGGCTAACAGCAACCACAACTCTACTGTTTTATCTCCACAAATAACACAAGCCTAGAGGAGTTCTGCTGTGTGGTGGTGTTGCTAATGCTAACAGCTAGCATCTGCTAGCCAAGACATTCTCTGCTGTTTCCTGGACGCTAAACCAACACCAGCCTTCCCTGTCGCGAGTCAAGATGGGTGAGTCCATGGATGTTAAGTGACAATTAAAGTTACAGTCTGTAGTTTCCTGGCACTAGGGGGCAGGACAGACATTTCAGGGTAGTTGTACACCATATCACTGTGACCATCACTAGTTTAATAAAACATTATGGTAAATCTTGTTACCTGTTGAGCAGAAAGTATGTGACCTCACTGTGATTCCTCAGACTTAGATGGTCCGTCAGTTAATTCCATCAAAAGAATGCAATGCCGATACTAGTTTTCTGGCGCTGTAGATTCCAGATCTGCTCGGGGTTTTGGAAAGAGTTTAGCAGTTTATTTATTAAAATCATATTTCTTACTGTCTAAATGTTTTTGAACATGGTAACGTAACTTCTGTAGGTCGTACGTCCAGCCAATCATCTAGCGTGATGTCATCGACAGGCGCGGGACCGCGAGCTGGCCAGAGGGAAACAAGGCGTCTAATATGGCGAGAGATTATGTATTTTAGACCCGATTTTTTTGGCAATATGTTACAAAGCCACCAGTTGGACATGATTGTATTCATTTTCAACGTTTCAATGGATATTTCCAGAAATTAATGGTAAAAATACAAATTTTCTCTAAATATTTATTAGCCATTTATATGGAGAGCCAAATTGTAAAGTGCCCACCAATAATTACAGAATTTTATGTTTTATTCTACCCTAATTTTCACATTTCATGGGTGTTGTCATAGAATTATGTGGTCACACCGGGGAATTTCTCACCATTTTCTCTTTTAGTTCGAATTTTATATGAATCCTGTCAGAATAACCACAAAATGTGACCTTTATCTAAAGGTTACAAAATAGCATTTGTGTGAACTTCAATGACATTTTAGGGACTGGAATATTTTTAAGGGCAATGACACTTTTCCCATTGTGGTTAGCTTAGCTGTCGAACACTCTGTTTCACTAAATTGAGGCTGTTCCATGATCCCGCCCCCAAAATTTGAATTAATGCTTTAAGTGATTCAATGTTCCACAACTTTCAAATTGGTTTCAAGAACCCCGGCAGACGTTCTAAGTTCTAACTGATTAATCACATAAACTTTAAGAGGACTTTTATTTTGTAGGAGCATTTAATTCATGAAGGAGATGTCTGTTTTTGGTCTTTACGCAGAGCTAGTTGGATATTTATGACAAAATATAACTGTTCATAACATTTTACCAAACTGAACTGTAGACAGACTGAATCAGACAGGAGGGACTTCCAATCTTCTTATGCTGATCCAGTACATTAAACACATTCTTTCACTTAAATACACAAATAGTGGCTCTTACCTGCACACTTCTTACAGATGACCACACCCAGGTTGACCGCAGCCCACTCTGGCCGTGGGGCGCGACAGTCTGCGCAGCTCCTGTTGGCCTTGTTGAACCAGATCTTCTCTGCCACTTCATAGTTGTAGAGTGTCTCCGTGATCGATTCTTGGACCGCTTCAATCCACTCCCCCTTCTCCCGTTCTGAGTCCGCCACAAAGCTGCAACAATCAATTTTTTTTTACCCCCGACCCCAACACATACCTCACAGTTATTGATTTGATTTGAGAGAGCAATTAAACAACATAGTAGCTCTTGGCAGGGCGATAAGGGCGTGAAAGTATGTGGAGCTGTTCGAGGAGGGGTGTTGCTAAGTGTGTGTGTCTACGTGTGATTGCAATAGATTTGGTGAAATTGATAGAAGCAATGGAAGGGTGCAAGTAAATCAATCTGTCTCAGCTTGCAACTCGACAATCTATAAAGTTCTAATGAAGGGTATTTTTTTCAGGATATTATTTCAACATTAGGCTCAGAAAAGTTGAGGAATGGTCACGGTTAAATGTGCACAAACACAACCAATTTCGAGCTTTGATGGAAGAAGTCTAGTTAAACAAGAAATGTATTAGAAACAAGGACACTATTATTCTGAAATGATAAGTAAAAGACGGGAATTAAACAAGTTTGGGGATGTGGATGCTTGTTCCGTTGACATGGGTGAAATTACCACAGGATCAAGTTTTTCAGACCACATCATAAAGTGAGGCAAGAATAGATTGTAAGCATACGCTATTAATAGTGAGAATTACATACAGAAGAATTCGGGAGGCCTCATTGTGTCAGTTGCACATCTCTATGATAAGGACAGCCAGTGCATGGAATGACTGAATTATCAGTCTATGGATAGTCGCAAGGGGAGACAGCACAGATGTCTGATGGACAGTTTGGTGTTGAAGTGTCATTTAAAACAAGATGCATTAGGTGCAAAAGTAACAATCTGTGGGTACATGTGTGAAGTTTAGTTGAAGACTTTTGAGGGGAACTTCCTGTTCACGTCACCCGCCAACTCTACAAAGGGAAGTGCTTCACCTACCTACCTACCTACCTTACTCAGTCATCGTTTTCACAGCATCGTGCTCAGAATTCTCAGACCAGCACAAATTACCAAGCCTGCCAACTTCCCGCAAGTCTGCCATTTCTTATTTTGGAGCCACTGTGCGCTCTCGCCATCTTATACGCTGCACACCCCGGCTCCTAGATCAAACAGCGTGCCAGTCTCGCACAGCATCTGTCACTTTGAGCTTGGCTCAAACGACACGCAACAGCCAAATTCTCGCTCTAACTAGCCTTACAAATAGCTAGTCACATTGTATCCAGCTACAACGTAGATTTCTGCTGTCTTTAAACAACTCTAATTTCATGTGTAACTGTTCTACAAAGCCACAAATGTCACATTACGCGGTGATGAGAAATTATGGAAATCCAACCGGAACAACTACACATCGCTAACTCTGACACTTTTACTCCTTTAAACCACAAAATTGAATGTAATAAGCAAACAAATAAAAGTTAAAATAGCTGTCAGTTTCATTCATAAGAACATATTTCACATGAACAAAAGTGACATTTTGAGCTGAGTTGTTTTTATGTGGAAGGAATTTAATTTAGTATTTGCTAATAATTAGCTCATTAATCAGGAATACCTGATGTGTGCAAGACCTTACACCCACGTGCCAATCCAAACAAAATGAATAATGCTATTTGGACGTCTGTCTAGATTTACCACAAGTAAAAGTTTGTACTTTTATTTCGAAAACATATCTGAATATTCGCTTGTTGTTCATTTGTATGTAAATTTAGTTTCAAGTTTAAAACTATATTTACTACCACAAATTTTCATGAGTGATCAAAGCTACCTTGATTCACACGATTCACGAGTAAATTCAAGAGCTATCAATCCTTGTCATTGAGAGCCAGCCTATATGTTTCAGAGGTATTTCTGCTTCGCCACACCTCATTTTAATCAGGAGATTACCAGGCTTTTGTATATATACATGATGAACTGCTGAACAGTTAATGCTACTATTGACTCATGCATGTTGATGCACAGAAACAAATAAAATGTGCTGATAGGAGCTCCTGAGGACCAGGGTTGGATACCACTGGAATTTATTGCATAAATCAGCTGATGAGCATAACTGTAGAGGGCCTGTATTTGATAGGGTTAGGGTTCCAGTGCTAGAACCCTCCAAGGTGCTTTACAAAACAGTCATTAATCCCTGAAAACACAAACTAATCGACTAGTTTCCAGAATAAAGACCTGCGATGGGTTCATCTAAAATTTGAAAATCTGATTTAGTTATGGTGTTAATTAATGCAATATTTCCAAGTAGCAATATAAAGATCTTATGTTTTTTCCCCAGGCAGAGGAAATAACTTTGCTAATTCACTCTAGTCTTACAACATATTCTATTGGGAATATTTATTACCAGATTCAAGCCTTTTTTAAATTATTAATGATAAATTTCTATGAGAGAAATGTCGAAGCTGTATCTCAGTATTGGCAGCCCAGCGCTGTACACAAACTGGAAACAAGTATCTGCTCTCAAAACTAGAATTGATGCATCTGGTAATATTCTGTTACACCAAGTGGAGGTCCTTTAAAAAGCGACAGCAAATAGGATTTAAATAATGTATTACCTTTCTACAGAAATCCCCTTCAAATGATCTTACCTATCCCTTTAAATTGAAGCAAAAGAAGAAAACAACATACAAAACTTAACTAAGGTGACTCAAAGAGGCATTGACTAAAGGGAAAAGGGACTATAGGTCTCCATGGCAACTTGGCTACCAGAGTAAAGTAAGAAAATGAGGAGAGTTGGAAGTAGACGAGGGCGGGGTTGCTGCCTGGAGCAGAGGATGTGCACTAGGACAGCTTCGGCCAAGCAGCCCGGCAAAGATCGATAGGTTGATTGGGTTCAGCCGCACCGTGCCCACTGATCTCTGCCCAGGGCCCATCCAAAGAGACGACTGCTCACACTGTCTGCTCAGCTACAGCGCTGAATCTAGCGCGGCCATAAGACTTGAAGTTTGGTCTCCGATAAGAGCCAGAACGTAGGCTGAAGAAAACAGCAGGGAATGAAGGAAAAAACAGAAATCTCAATAAGAATCTTTAATCAAACCCTACCATTAGATCAACAAAGGCGCGACAAGAGAGAAGTGGATTACACAAAAACCCTTCAGACAAAACAAGTAAATAGTTGGTAATCGTGATGATGGTGTTCTAATGCATCCTTTGCAACAATTTGAAAACATCAAAGTATTCAATATTGGTTAAACGGGCATTTTGTTTTGCAGAAAGTCTGTTTAAGAGATGCTATAATTTGCCACTAAACAACAACCTATTATTACAGTTCTGGTGTGTAATTAGGTAGAATATTAACAATGCTGAGAGTAATCTAAACATCCATTGAATACAGATAGAAAAAATGTATAAACTTAGCCAGTTAGACACAGTAATTTCTGTTTTTGTGGGGAAAATGGAACAAAATAAAAAGGGGATTTGAATAAGAAGGCCCAATTAAACTGTAGCTTATACCTTATAGTCTTCATCTTGTGTTTAAAACCATAGTTTTTGAACAATTTTTTTTCAACCCCTACAAAACCCTCACACACTCACATCATGACTGAAAAGAAATGGGTCAATCGAGGCCAAACTCGACAGGAATATTGGGATTATAGGGATTGTATTGGTATGGGTATGATAGGGAATGTAAACTTAGTGATTGTATACACAGTGTGATGTTTTCACATCCTATTTACCTTAATGCAAAGCGACACCAACATGGCTCTTAGTTGCTGATCTGAGAGTGTTAGGACTAGCTTAAATTGCCAGACCTACTACGTCTATTACAGGATTCTGTAATCTGTTAAGATCCTCAATTTAGTTTCCCTAAATATTAAGGTGAAAAATACTTTAGGAGGGGTTTAAAACAGAACTGTATATAAAATGTGGGTAAACCCAAGCCTGTCGCAACAAGACGGGCAAACAAGGCAATCGCCTTGGCCATCAAACTGGCCAAGGAGCCCCAGACATTGACTGTTTGTGAATGAAATGCAACAAACAGTGTAAATTTGGTGGACTACCCCTTTAAATCTTTATGTTTTTATGGTATGGTGGTGAATTTTCTTGCAGATGTTCAAATGTAAACATTATCAAGCACAGTGTCATGCAAAAAAGGTACCTTCCTCAAAGTATTTCATCAATATAAAGTTTTGGTGAACTGGAACAGTGCGACTATGAAGCAGGGCTTTTGAGCATGTGAGGTGCCGAAGGGGGGGTCAAGTCCATTTAGCCCTGGGTAAATTGTAACCAATTTTACACATAAGTAAAAAAAAACTTTGTGACTAAAATGGCTACAAGACGATTTGCAAGACATTTGCAGGACTGTAGCATTTCTTTGTACTTACATCATGAGACCAATGTCACCCACACATCAAAACATCTTGCAAAGTAAGTGCAAATAGCAAACCAGAGTGTATCCAAGGCAAACTTAGCTTTTTTCTTTATGTTTTGGTACTTTTATGTAACCAACTTGTAAACATCTCAAAGCTTAAAATATTTATTGACAACAAAATTGAAGTTATTGAAAGCCAATGTGAAATCTGGGGAAGATGAAAAGCATTTGTCTGATTCACCGGTGTCTTTGCCACAAATCTACTGGTGAGACATTTATTCCTATTTTAGAGAAAGCCCTGAAACCTTCACTCGGGAAAAAATAAAGGCTTTCAAAAGTTTGGAGAGCTACAATTATTTTGCTTCAAGAAAAGTCGGGCCAATCTCTTTTGCAGAACAGTAAGTTAGACCCAGTGAGGAGAGTCACAGCATGTTTTGCATCAGCAATGGTTGATTGACAAAGAGAACGGTGAAAATCTCACTGTGACTGCAAAGCTGGATTAGTCTTCTTTGGTCAGTGTCCTCACTTCTCGTATTGACTACTGCAACTCTCTTCTCTTCGGTCTTCCTCACAAATCCCTCCATAAACTCCAACTCCTCCAGAACTCGGCAGCCCGCATCATTACCAGAACTCCCTCCTTCCACCACATCACCCCTGTTCTTCAGCAGATCCACTGGCTCCCAGTCACTTCCAGAATCCAATTCAAAATTCAGCTATATACATTCAAAGCCATCTATAAACTAGCTCCCCTGTACCTCTCGGACCTC